CAGCTGCGTGAGTGACAGCTGGCTCTGCCTATCTAGAGGCAGAACCAGCTGTACCCCTCCCCCGTCCGTTTCGCCAGTCAGCGCTGGCAGATCGGAGAGAGGAATCCAGCCCCTCCCCCTGTCACGGCAGAGAGCCGTGACAGGATCGAGAGGTGAGCGAACCTGGTATGTGTTCGCTCACCTCCCGATCTACTGAGCCGACCTGTGACAGTGTCATTGTCACAGGTCGGCTAGAACTAGGAGGTGAGTGGAAATCACTCATCTCATAGTTCTCCTTTAATCTCCCACTGGGCTGTTGTATTCTTTTTTTTTTTTTACGCACTCACATACAGTTTATTTACATTAATGTTACATAGTTACATATAGTTGCATAGTATTTGGGGTTGAATAAAGACATACGTCCATCAAGTCCAACCCATATAGGTCCACGCATCATCTCATTCTTAGGGATACTGGTATCCCTGGATATTACTGTCCATCAAGAAATTGTCCAAACGTTTCTTAAACAAATCTACACTCTTGGCTGAAATCACTGCCGATGGCAGTGAGTTCCAGACCTTAACCGCTCTTACTGTAAAGAACCCTCTCCGCCCATTGTGCTGGAATTTTTTCTCCACCAACTTTAGGTGGTGGCCTCTAGTCTTTGTAATGGAGTTAATGTCAAACAGTTTGTTGCCAATGTTGCTGTCACCATTGAACATCTTGTACATGAAAATCATATCCCCCTTAATCTCCTTAATTCCAGCGTAAACATGTTTAAGGTCAGAAGCCTTGTCTCATAGCTCTGGTCCTCCATTCCCCTAATTAGTTTTGTTGCCCTCCGCTGGACTCTCTCCAGTTCAAGGACATCCGTTCTCAGTACCGGCGACCAAAACTGGACCGCGTACTCCAGATGTGGCCGAACCAACGATCTATATAGAGGCACAATTATGGACTTGTCCCTGCAATACATCCCCTTCTTAATACAGGACAAGACCCTGCTAGCTTTGTTTACCGCAGCTTGGTACTGCAAGCTACCATTCAGTTTGTGGTCACACTACAAAGGTGTTTAGATTCCACCCATAGATCATGCTGGGAGGGAACACACTACAGAGGTGTATACATGACCCCCAAATCTTTTCTATTTCTGACTTCCCCAGCGGCATACCCATGATTGCATAGCCTATTTGTTTATTTTTATGTCCAAAGTGCATTACTTGGCATTTATCGACATTAAACCTCATCTGCCACATGAATGCCCACTCCCCTATTTTATCCAGGTCCTCCTGTAATGTAATGTTATATTGTCACGATCCGTTTCTAGTACCCTCCCTATTTTTGTATCATCTGCAAACACTTTTTGTATCGTCTGCAAACAGTGAGACTCAATAGGCCATATTTAGCTATACATCCTATATGAATGTTAACAGAAGTCGGAGAAAAATGTCTCACAATAAAAATGATTAATTTACTGTTCCAAATTTAACATTTAAAATACCACAGTAATTCATCCAAAAAACTGCCCCATATACCTCCCCCCAAAACATGACGTGCATAATAAGCTCATATGAAATTGTAAACATCTCAGATTGAGCAATAATATGGTCAATATGTGCTGTAATAAACAGATTGGTGAGTCTTTATAAGAATAGAAAGAAATAAAACCTCATTGAATGACCTCTTCCAAGGCCTTCTTCCCCCACCTTCACCTGTGATCCGGCCATTAAATCCGTTCATTTTCAACTTCCTCCAACAGGCCATGCTGTCCAACATGCTGTCCAACAAAAGTGGCAGACAGAGGGTTAGTACAAACCATACACCCACTATAGTCAACTTTAATGCATTTATGCAAAACTTTAATATCAAAAGGAAAACAAAAAGCTGGTGGGCTCTGCAGGGTCACACTCAGATGGGCTGTGTGGGGTCCCAGGTGGGCTCCCTATGGCCTCTGCACTCAGGCGGGTCCTGAGTGCAGTGCGTTACTAAGTCCAGAGCGTTACTAAGTCCTGGGTTCAGTGCGTTACTAAGTTCTAAGTCCAATGCGTTACTAAGTCCAGAGCGTTACTAAGTCCTGAGTCCAGTGCATTACTAAGTCCATAGTCCAGTGCGTTTCTAAGTCCAGAGCGTTTCTAAGTCCTGTGTCCAGTGTGTTACTAAGTCCAGAGTCCAATGTATTACTAAGTCCAGAGTCCAGTGTGTTACTAAGTCCAGAGTCCAGTGCGTTACTAAGTCCAGAGTGTTACTAAGTCCAGAGTCCAGTGCGTTACTAAGTCCTGAGTCCAGTGCGTTACTACGTCCTGAGTCCAGTGCGTTACTACGTCCTGAGTCCAATGCGTTACTACGTCCAGTGCGTTCCGAAGTCTTGAGTCTGGTGCGTTACTAAGTCCAGAGCATTACTAAATCCTGAGTCCAGTGCATTACTGAGTCCAGAGTCCAGTGCGTTAATAAGTCCAGAGTCCAGTGCATTTCTAAGTCCAGAGTCCAGTGCGTTTCTAAGTCCAGAGCGTTTCTAAGTCCAGTGTGTTAATAAGTCCAGAGTCCAGTGCGTTACTAAGTCCAGAGTCCAGTGCGTTCCGAAGTCTTAAGTCTGATGCCTTACTAAGTCCAGAGCATTACTAAATCCTAAGTCCAGTGCATTACTGAGTCCAGAGTCCAGTGCGTTTCTAAGTCCAGAGTCAAGTGCGTTTCTAAGTCCAGAGCGTTTCTAAGTCCAGTGTGTTACTAAGTCCTGTGTGTTACTAAGTCCCGAGTCCAGTGTGTTACTAAGACCAGAGTCCAGTGCGTTACTAAGTCTAGGGCTGCAGCTAACGATTATTTTCATAATCGCTTAGTTAGCCGATTATTAAGTTCGATTAATCGGATTTTAAAAAAAAGGCTCCAGTGATGGACTACTAGTTTGTAATGAGATTGTAGTCCATCACGGGAGCAAGCTTGGAGCGGTGGAAGTAAAAAAAAGTGTGGTGTGCAATATAGTACGTTATACAGCGCAATGCAGAATACCAGCAGCTTTAGAGGAATACAGCAAATCCCAGCAATAGCAATTATACTATAATGTTCTATTGCTGGGATCTGATGTATTCCTCTATAGCTGGTGTTATTGGAGAGGACGGGTATGATGCAGGAATAGAGAGGACGGGTATGATGCAGGAATATGGAGGACGGGTATGATGCAGGAATAGAGAAAACAGGTATGAAGGTGGAATGGGGTGCAGAGGACGGGTATGAAGGTGGAATGGGGTGCAGGGATGGAGAGGACGGGTATGATGCAGGAATAGAGAAAACAGGTATGAAGGTGGAATGGGGGGCAGAGGACGGGTATGATGATGGAATGGAGTGCAGGGAAGGAGAGGACGGGTATGATGCAGGAATAGAGAAAACAGGTATGAAGGTGGAATGGGGGGCAGAGGACGGGTATGATGATGGAATGGAGTGCAGGGAAGGAGAGGACGGGTATGATGCAGGAATAGAGAAAACAGGTATGAAGGTGGAATGGGGGGCAGAGGACGGGTATGATGATGGAATGGAGTGCAGGGAAGGAGAGGACGGGTATGATGCAGGAATAGAGAAAACAGGTATGAAGGTGGAATGGGGGGCAGAGGACGGGTATGATGATGGAATGGAGTGCAGGGAAGGAGAGGACGGGTATGATGCAGGAATAGAGAAAACAGGTATGAAGGTGGAATGGGGGGCAGAGGACGGGTATGATGATGGAATGGAGTGCAGGGAAGGAGAGGACGGGTATGATGCAGGAATAGAGAAAACAGGTATGAAGGTGGAATGGGGGGCAGAGGACGGGTATGATGGTGGAATGGGGTGCAGAGGACGGGTATGATGATGGACTGGAGAGGAGTTAGGGTGCAGAGGATGGGTATGATGGTGGAATGGGGTGCAGAGAATGGGTATGATGGTGGGTTGAGGTGCACAGTGTTGGGTCCCAGGCTCTGGGGAGGGGGGTCGGGGCACTTACTGTCTGAACATTCCTTCCATGTCTTCTGCTGAAAGGTTTAGCCTGGATGCCGGCTCGTCCCCAGCCATAGTCTCCGTCCCCCGGCTGACACCCGTCGCGCTCACAACCCCCGGCACCCGTCATGTGATCGGCCCGGCTAGATGTGAGGAGCGCCGGGATTGGAGGAGAGCCGGGAGCTGGGCCGCCGTGGCGTGCGCGTTCGGTGGGCGTGGCGTGCTGGGCTTGAGTGTGGAGCCGCGAACAGGCAATGTAATAGATAGCCGAATAATCGATTAAATCGAATCGTTGTTGCAGCTCTAACTAAGTCCAGAGATTTACTAAGTCCAGTGCGTTACTAAGTCCAGAGTCCAGTGCGTTACTAAGTCCAGAGTTCAGTGTGTTACTAAGTCTAGAACGTTACTACATCCTGAGTCCAATGCGTTACTAAGTCCAGTGCGTTCTGAAGTCTTGAGTCTGGTGCCTTACTAAGTCCAGAGCATTACTAAATCCTGAGTCCAGTGCATTACTAAGGCCTGAGTCCAGTGGGTTACTAAGTCCTGAGTCCACTGCGTTACTAAATCCGGAGTCCAGTGCGTTACTAAGTCCTGAGTCCAGTGCTATACTAAGTCCAATGCGTTACCAAGTCCTGAGTCCAGTGCGTCACTCAGTCCAGAGTATTACTAAGTCCTGAGTGAGCATTAGTGTGTAAGCTCCTCTGTACAGAAACGAATGTGAGTGGTTCAGTGTTCTCTGTACAGCACTGTGGTGTATGTCAGAGCTATATAAATGTATAATAATAGTTTGAGACTGTGGGGAGATGACAAGTAGCAGTATGCCATTGGCAGCTGGGGGGGGGGCTAGCCTTGTAGGCTGTATGGAGCCCCTTGATTTCTAATGGCAGCCCTGCTTATTCTAATTAGTCTAACAAGCAGTAAAACCAGAAGAGGCACAAAGACCTCATGAATTGTCCACGCTGCTGCCATAGTACAAAGCCTCACTCTATTCCCTCTTGTGTCAACACTAGTCACGCGCTGTTCGCCTCTGCGCACTAAATAAAGTTATTGAAAGTTACCTCTTCAAACATGGCGGCTCCCATTGCGCCCTTGGTTTCCTTGAGCTGTTTGTGGGCGACTTACCGGGGCTGCCGAAGACTACGGTACGGTGCCCACCTGGGGAGGCTGCCAGGGCTCACCGTACCCTGTCTGCGGAGTCCGGCGGCAGGTTAGTGGCGTGCAGCGTATGTGCTATATGCCAGCCGGTCTGGTGAGGGGAATCAATGAAGAAACACTGCAAAGTATTGACAGTGCATGCAAATGCCTCAGTAATAGACTATGGCGTGATTAGAGCAATCATTATATATTATGTGCTTCTCACATCTGCCTGTCCTTATAAAGGTCAAAATGTTTATTTTCGTTGTTGGCAAGCACACAGAGACCCTATATTCCCGTGTCCCCATTTAAACTTTTGCTTAATGTCCAGGTGACTAGTGTCAGAGCAGGAAGTGATGGGGTACTGATTGATCGTTAGCTCTCATGGGGCTAAGGACAGTAAAAAAAAAAAAAAAGCTGAACTAGACAAGTAGTTCAGCTACAAATTTAAATAACGGTGGGGAAAATGATTAACCCCTGCAGTGGGTCTACTCCGGCTTCGCAAGGGTTACGTGCTCATTTGGGTCTAGGGAAGAAAATAACAAAGTTATACTCACCTGATCCTTGGAGCTGGCCTGCTCTTAGGACAGTCCCTGGAGCCTCTCTTCCCCTCCTCTGCAGTGCAGCAGTCTAAGGTCCATGAGCCATCACATTCTATACACTGGGGGGGAAATTATCAAAGCTGGAGCAGTTGCCCACGGCAACCAATCAGCATCTTTCTTCAGTTTGCTCAGGTGGGATTCAAAAATGAGAGGAGCTGATTGGTTGCAGTGCAAATCTGCTCCAGTTTTGATAAATTCCCATTGTTGCAGTGGAGGGAGTGCTGTCACAGCTGGACGGCTCGGAGGATTGGGTGAGTATCAATTTATTTTCCTCCCTAAACCAAAATGAGCACTTAAAGGAGAACTATGAGATGAGTGATTTCCACTCACCTCATAGTTCTAAGCCGAACTGTGACAATGAGACTGTCACAGGTCGGCTCAGTAGATCGGGAGGTGAGCGAACACATACCGGGTTCCCTCACCTCTTGATCCTGTCACGGCTCTCTGCGTCTCAGTATACCGCGAGCTGTAGCTTGCGGTATACTGAGCTTAGGGTAACGGGAGGACGCTAGTTTGTGTCCTCCCGTTACCCTAAGGAGAACTATGGGGGAAAACACTGACCCTATAGTTCTCCTTTAACCCTTGCAGTGTGGGGGTAGACCCACTGCAAGGGTTAAGAATAATTTTCCCTGAAGTCCTGATTTAATGTCTCAAAACAGTTACTTTCAAGGCATGCCAACTGTCCAGGATGCCAGTGTGCTTATTTCAGCTCTCAACCACACTTTCAAGCCCTAAAATGACTGGCGTCATAGCTGATGCTACGATGACACTTGTAGTTCCACTGTAAGGACACATGCACACAATGCACAGCATTGTTTGTTTACAAATTATAAACATGCATGTGCATTACAGATCTGAGTGCAGGTGTCTGTTTTCTATGGGCTCATGCGTAAAGATTAGTGAACTTGAGCTGCATTCAGATCCATAAAATCTAAGTGGAAAAATCTGCGCCCGAGATCCTGCGCGTGCACCATATTAGACACTGTATGCATGTAAACATTTGTGCTAACTTTTAAAAGCTGCATTCTAGCAAAGGACGCTTATGGTTCAAGATGCTAGGATGCATCCTTTGTTGCTTAGAATGCAGCTGACTCAAGTCGCCTAGTGTCCTAGCAACCAATAGGACACCTTTGTGCTATATGCTGTTGCTGAAACGTTACATGCATACACAGGACTTTTATGCACGATGCTGCTGCCAGCTTCTGCCAGCAAGATCCTGCTTCCTAGTTGTTGACCTTGCCGACCTTGTAGTCCACAGAAACTAAGAGCTATATAGTAGCCCCCAACGCCATTCAGAATTGCTGGGGGGGGGGGATTGCCAAAAGAAAAAATACTCCCCTAGGTGCTGGTGATGTCACTCGGCCTCCTTTGGGCTATTGAGAATGTGCTGCTGTGCTGTACGGAAGTGCATTCTTTCAAGATTTTGGATCCTCAGCTTTCTCAGGATAAGCTGAGTGACAGGAGCGTGTTCCCGTGAGATATGAATTTTGGAACAATGCACCATGCAGACGGGGTAACTCATTTTGCATAATAGCCTAAGTGGTTTTAATACTTAATGTATTTATTACTTGCTTAATTTTTTTTCTGTCTGCCAGGAGTTCCGCTTCAAAGTTGAACTTTAGGAAGATAGGAAAAAAATGGGTGTATAAACAAATTTAGGGTGTAATATTGAACATGGTCACATTTCTCAGCCCCCTGCCCATCCTCCAACTGCCCCCACACTTGAATTGAGGTGTAGTTCTCTGCAGGATTCGGTTTTGGTTTGAATTCGGCGCTGCTGTTCACACAGCCACGTAGTCCTCCATTCACAGGTCCTGTGAATGGATTGCATGTCCCATTTGCCACCATGGCCTCGTAAACCAGTGGAGTAAAATGAATTGAGGTGATGTCTCCACCGTTATAGTCCATTGACTGCTTCCTCCAGCCCCATAACGGTAAGCCCATGCCTCTGTACGGACCTGGGGCTAGGGGAGGAGTCTGAGCCTGTGCATTGCACCCCCAGTCCACTAATCACAGTTTCCAGTTTGTTGAACACCTCTTCCTCCTCTATATTTACTACAGTGACTACTGTTTGTCTGTTTTGCAGCCCAACCTCACAAATATATAGTGTGTTAAAAGAGATGCCAAAATAATTGGGTGCCCTGGAATCATTAAAGTGTATATAAACCCCAAAACAAAAATGTAATACATGGAAGCTTACCAGTCCCAAGATGTTTTATTTTTTCCCTTTTCATCTGGTGGTCCTGCCAGTAACACACTTTCTATCACAGTGACAGCAAGCATTTACTTCACTATGTCTATGGGACAGTAGTTTTGTCACCATAGGCAGCTTTCCTGATTTGGCTACAAATGCTTCCTCTCCTCTCCTTGTCTACCATTACATTGGGGGCAGTGATTTTTAGTTTGCATAGGGTACCTTGAAAGGAAGATAATATTGTTTGGCATTTCAGTTCATTTCACAGGAAGCGACAAGGACATGGCATTTCTGGCACGAATAGCAGGTATTTTCTGTACTTGCCGAAAATGTACTTAGGCTTAAAAAAATAATGCAGCCACCACAACTTATGACCCGCCTCCCAGGCTTCCTGATTGGCTAGGAAGCCGCCTTCACATGTTGCTAAGCAGCCTGGCGTCCTAACCAATCAGGAAGCCAGGCTGCCTAGGAACAGTGAAGCCAGCTTTCTAGCCAATCAGGAATCTGGGAGGAGGGTCATAACGTGCCACCCGGCTTCCTGGTTGGCTAGGAAGCCAGCTTTACTTGTTGGTAGGCAGCCTGGCCTCCTAACCAATCAGGAAGCCGGGTTGCACATCATGATTCGTGTCCCGGCTTCCTGATTGGTCAGGAAGCCACTTTGCCTAGAAACAAGTGAAGCCGGCTTTCTAGTCAATCAGGAAGTCGGCAGACTGGCCATGACGTGCTGCCCGGCTTCCTGATTGGCTAGGAAGCTGGCTTCACTTGTTGCTAGGCAGCCTGGCTTCCTGACCAATCAGGAAGCCGGACGGCACTTCATGACTCACTGCCCGACTTCCTGATTGGTCAGGAAGCCAGGCAGCCTCTGAAGCTGGTGTTCTTTCTCTAGAACATCGGCCTCACAGGCAATCAGGAAGCCGGGAGACCGGTCATAATCCGCTGCCCGGCTCCCTGATAATCGGGGCACAATGCATCGATACTCGTTATCGGCGAGTACCGAAAAAAATATATCGGTACTCGATACCGAAACGCCGGTATCTGTGCATCCCTAGAATAAATAATGCAGGTAACAAGTTTGACAGGAGGGTAAAGGCATTAAAAAACACTGGGACACCCAATGTTGATTTATTGATACAGGACCTAAATCCAGCAGAACAGCTATTTAACTGTAGCCCCTGCCTACTGGAACCACTAAAACCTATTAGAAGGTACCTAAACCTACAAATGGTTTACATTTTCTGGGGATTCTCAAATTTTGGGGCACTCAAATGTAAATACTGACTACAGCTTGGATGTTTGAGCTCTGGCTTCTCAATCACTTCACCATTGGTTAGGGAAGCAGTCTATTCCATGTAGTGACCAATAGTGAATCCCAGGAGGGAGTGGGCCATAGCTGAACCTGGTATATGATATATGAATATGCTTGAACCTAAAACAACATGTATGCACAAGCAGCTATTTACATTGCTTATTATTAAAACATGGGGATGTATTGGCCTTTCTTCTACATGTGTAATAAATGTACAGCACTCTCAGTTGTACATTCTCTAATTCTTCTAGAACTATTATTGACCAGTGTGACAAGTATATGTGAAATAGAAAAATTCCTATTATGAAATTAAATACCGTATTTTCTTTGTCTTCCAGCATCTGTAAGCCAATTGGCTGAGAGTTCACTTACAAGTTATGAAACAAAGACATATTCTAAAGAACTTATTGACTGCAATGGGCTTCTTCAGCACTATGACATTTTAGTCAAGGATTGTGTTCTAAGGAAGGATGACCATCAACGAAGGGTAATGCAGCACTTACAAAGTCTACATGAAGAACTCCGGGGATACAAGAAAGAGTCTAAGGGCATTTTTACAACGGTCAGTTTTTCTTTTCCTTATTTGCTTCTGTTTTTCAAAAGGTTTTTGGCCTGTAGAAGGCATGACATCTCACACTTGGCTAAATAATCTACTAGATTCTGGTATGTCTAGAATGACATAATTTCTCTGCCGTTGTCTGTTTTTAATCCCTTTCTCACTATCATAACAATAGTGTCATTATCTCATCATATTTTTTGCATGACAATCTATCAGGAGATAGGCCATGTAGAAGCTTTGCACAACTGTTAAGTTCTCTCCAACATATATAAGAATCCAACATGTGATTCATTTTGCCACCAACTACTCCGAACTGAAATATTAATTTTAGTTTAAATTGGTATTTAAAGTGAAACTCTGGTCTAATTACAAAGGAAGTTATTGTTGTAAACAAGTACCTGAGTGAGCTGTTTTAAAACAGGTTCCTGATTTCCTTAAAAGTAACATTTCTCCATGCATACTCCTCCACAAAAGCTGCTTCCAAGAAATTATAATAAAGTAATAATGAATCCAGACCAAACATATATACATTGCCAAACACCTACCGTTATCACGTTTCCATACAGCTGTCTCCCACTCTCTCAGCTTGGCTTCCCTGATCTTCCGGTTGAGTACAAGGTCACAAGGAAAACAGCAGACTCCAACAGCTGTCTATCTATCAGCCTGAAGAAGGGAGGAATAGGAACACACAACGTACTAGCACACAAGGATGGCTCCATAGGACCTTGCAAGGGAAAGAATCAACCCTAAAACAGGGTATCAGAACCAGTGCTCAGCTGACCAGCTACTTCTGCAGGAAACTAAAACTTTTAAAATAAGGGGTGTAGGAATGCACCGATACTAGTACTTGTAGTTGCTCAAATGCTCCAGATGCCTATCCCGATACTGGAACTTCCACCATCAGGAAGCCGGGCGGCGAGTCATTACACGCCGCCTGGCTTCCTGATTGGCCGGGAAACCGGCTCCATGCTCCCCCATCACTTGGTGACAGGGGAGCATGGAGCCAACTTCCCAGCCAATCAGGAAGCAGGGCAGTGTGTAAAGACTCGCCGCCCAGCTTCCTGATTGGTCGGGAAGCTGGCCAAACAGGAAGTCAGGCGGCGAGTCATTACCCGCCTCCCAGCTTCCTGATTGGCCAGAAAGCCGGCTCCATGCTCCCTCGTCACCTATTGAAAAAACGGTATTGGTGCATCCCTTATTAAGGAGCTGCCACCATTGTAAGTGATTTAATGAGCGTTTGAAATAGCTTCAGAACCATTTTATTTTAAAATCACTTTAACTCACCTAACAGGAACAGGAGGACCATAAAATGTTTAAGGCAAAGTCCACCTGTTACTAAAAAAAATAATAAATGCACACACATTTATAAAAAATTTACATTAACCCCTTCGTGACGGGAGACGTACACTGTACGTCCAGCCACAAAGGGACCAAATGACTTGTCACGTACACTGTACGTGACGAGTTATTTGCTTCTTTAGAGGGCTGTTAAACGCTGAGAATCAGCTTTTAACATTCATTAATAGATGCCCTTACTACAGAGGCATTCATTAATGAAAGGGTTAACCTTTTTCAGACACCCGATACCTTAATATCGGGTGTCTGAGAGTCAAAGCAAAGCGGACACACATGCCGGCTTTTGCCGGCATTCTGACAGCTCGTATAGATCGAGAGATATCTCTCTCAAGCTATACTGGCTTTTTTTTCTTTTTTCATGAATAGATACAAAATGTGTCTATTCCTACAATGTATCTATTCCTGGAAGAAGAATGTTTCAGTTTGCTGATCGTTGTTGCAACAATCAGAAAACCTATAGTGACAGCTGAATCCTGAACTGCTGCAGGATCAGTGTCACTAACTTATTATCGGCTGTTCTGAAGTTTGAAGCAGCCTGATAATAACCAAAAATTTATTAATTTATCAAGCAGTAACAGTGAGATTAATTCACAATGACTGCTTGATATAATTAAATAAATAAAATACAATTTTTAAGTTTAAAAAAAAGTGAAAAGTGTAAAAAAAAAAAAAATTGTGAAAAGTGTAAAAAAAATAAAAAAATGTGTAAAAAATAAAATAAAATAAGGGACAAATAAATGAATGTATTTATTGCATTTTTTTAGCTGTGCTGGTTTTGTAAAAAAAATACTACAAATCAAAACTGGGAAAAAAGTGTTTTTTTTAAACGGTTTTTTCCTCTTTTTTTATATTTTATTTGTCCTAAGTGAGGCGTTAGACACACATATGTGATATAAATATGTAGCCCTATCTGTCCTCTAAAAAACAATATATAATATGTGTGGGTGCACTTTGTAAGAAAGTATATTACTGACGTGGAAGAATCACACAGCAAAAATGTCAAAAGTGTGTCAGTCATTTACGAACAGAAACTAAAAACAAGCTCAGTCATGAAGGGGTTAATTATTTTTTTGCATTGGAGCCAGTAAAGCATTGTAACCACGATAAGTGGATCGCAGGTGCAATGTTCTGGCTGCTAAAGACTCGCCCAACAGTCCATGTCTGTACTGATGTATGGGCTTTCAGTTACAGGGACGGACGGAAGTATGAATGGACTTCAAGTGCGATGACGTCACATGGAGGTGACCATATTTTTTTTACACTCTGATCATGGGTGTAACATGAAACATGATATTAACAGTAAACTTAGCCTTTGAAGATTCCCCTCTACCCCACCCATTCCTTTAGTATGGACTAGTATAATTTAGTCCTACTCCATGGCAGCCATAACTGAGATATTGCTTCTTCTACCTAATCTGGAGAAGAGTACAGTAAACATTTAAAAGCACCACCGACCTACTGACTTCCTGCCCCTGCTATCTTCAAAGTACTCAAATAGATCCGCTATGTCAATGGTACTCTACTAGTGGCTATCTGGACCTCAGCATGGGGCCTGCTGTGTTCATACCTTGGCCCAAGTCTGGAGCATAGTGGTCGGCAAACTAGGTGTGAACGTCTTGGACAGAGTGCATTTATTGAACCACTGACTGTCAGTGACTACCGTAGTCCAGCACTAAGCCAAGGGGCTAAAAAGTAATAAGCTCATGGGCTTGCTAAAGTGTATTTATCCCCAAAACATTTTTGTTTTCATACAACAGGGAAGGGTTAGAACTCCTGTAAGGTTTGACTACAGTTGGGGGTTCCACTAAAGAGATTCCTTTACTTCCTGTCTGGAGAGGAAGTGAGGGAAAATCTCTTCAAGAGCAGTACAGAAGTAAAAATATATTTTTTAAGTTAAGTAGAGAAATGCTAGAACCTCTGGCAACTTTTTATTGTCTGTTTCCCTGTTTCAGATTTTCCCTCACTTTCTGCCGGATCCCCAAAACAGAAAATAAAGGAGAACTATAGTTCTCCTAAGGCTGGGTTCACACCTAGGCGGATTGAATATGCACGTTTTTCGTGCGGTTTTTTACCGCGATTCGCGTTTCCGAGGCATACTTGGCTGTATCCCAATGGAACCGCCCGACCAAAACGCCCCAAAGAAGTACATGTACTTCTTTGGGCGTAGGGCGGTTTCCCGCACGTTCGTACTCGCGGAAAACCGCCCAGATTGGAACCATTGAAAATAATGGCATTTCCCTGTTTGAGCGTTTTTCCGCGAGTACGAAAGCGCGGAAAAACGCCTAGGTGTGAACCCAGCCTAAGGGTAACGGGAGGACGCTACAGCTCACGGTATACTAAGACGCCGCAGCCGGGACGGATCCCGACATTACTGTCTGGATCCACCCAGCTGCATGAGTGACAGCTGGCTCTGCCTATCTAGAGGCAGAGCCAGCTGTACCCGCCCCCTTCCCCGTCCGTTCCACCAGTCAGCGCTGGAGGATCGGACAGGGGAGGGGGGAATCCCTGCAGGGAGCCGTGAGTGACAGTCACGGCTCTCTGCAGGGAGATGATCGAGAAGTGAGCGAGCGACGGTATATGTCCGCTCATTTCCCCATCTATTTAGCTGACCTCTGACAGTTTCATTGTCACAGGTCGGCTAGAACTATGAGGCTGAGTGATTTTCACTCGCCTCATAGTTCTCCTTTAAGGGGATAGCTCTCTAACAGAGCCCCAGATAGCAGTAACACCTGAGAGGGGGTTTAGCCTTTCCCCAGTTTCTTCAAAACGGAAAAAACCCAAAACGTTTTGGATATAGATACACTTTAATCTGTTATAGAGCATTCACTAAGTGTGCTCTGTTGAAGCATAAAAGGAAAGTGCTATGACATCACCTTTGACATCAGCCTTCCAGTCATTCAGAATTACATGGGAACAGCTGGGTCAGCTTAGCCCTGCTGCAATAGATCACTTCAATAGTGATCTATTTCTGCTAATAAGCAAGCAATAGATCACTATTATTAGTTATCTCTGCTACAGAGTTGCATGGACGTCTCTGGATGAATTTTAAAAAAAGTGAACAAAATGTAGAAATAAATTAAATGCAATGAATGATAAATCAATAAAATGACCACCTCCATGCATAATCCCGTGGTCCCAAGAAATTCATTAGGTGCTGTGAACAATATTTGCTATTTTCACATGTGCATCAAACATGAGAGAGAACAGAATGCCATTTAGAATTGTAATGATCGCAAACCTGTGAACATTTGCTAATTTCTGCCCATGCAAACCTGACTTCATCTTATCTTTGTCACAGTTCAGCTGAAGAGTTGCAGCTGAGCTGTCACTTGTAGATCTACAAGTATGTGCTGGTTCTTCAGGCATGCAGGGCTGTGCTGTTGCTTATAGTCCTCCAGGAAGGTGCTCTATGCCTAATGTGCTCTTGCACCAGTCTGGCAGCTTTAGGCGTTGGCTGACCTTCCCTGCTGATTCTTATGCAGCTTCTCAGCCAATCATTGCAGTCAGCATGTGGACAATGCTGTGAATCCTCCCTCTTGCTTACTCTATTTAAATCCAGGACATTGCATGGCGTGCTGCCCAGGCAAAGCTTTCCTAAGCAAGATGCCAAGGCCCCTGTTTGCTGTTAAAGCTAAAGTCCTTGACAG